GAAAACAACGCCCATAGATAAAAACAAATGATAAATGAAATTCTTAGTACTTACATAGCAATACATCCTTACTAATATTGTAAATCGGAAAGTGAATTTGTTTGTTCATCTTTCACGTAAAGTTAGAAGTCTGGATTAAATAATTGGGTAATATCCCGGAAAGTAATGATATTCTCGAGGAAAAACGAAATTATTGATATAGATGGCGCTGTGTGTATTGGTATAATATGTCACATAGGCTACTTTTTATCCTTTTGTGACGTGAGCGAAGCCGCGGGTAAAAGCTAGTACATAAATATTTCTTTCTGTCTGTCAGTAACTAATCAACTAGATGACTAGACTGACTTGGCAAGTTCGTGTCAAAAGTGTCCGTTCCCACGGGAACATCAAAAACTGCTAACTCTAGTCTATGGGTCGGATTGCAAGAGAATTTTGTAAAAAAATAACTTGATGGTTTGATTTGTTATTCAATGTTTGAAAGAAGCTTTGTTTCTGTTTGTTTTGAGTTAATGTGAAGGATTTTGATGATATTTTAACCGACTTTAAAAACATAATAAAGGATATTCTCAGTTGAATCTGTATGTATGTATGTATGTTTGTGCAAGATTATCTCGCGATTGGCTAAACCAATTTTGATGCGGATTTCAGAAAAGTGTTTAATACACTTAGGAGAGTTATATTCTTTAATGTTGTAGTATATTAATTAGCTGACTTAAAAAGAAAGGCGGTTAAAATCGGTTTATAACAATTATTATTATATCGCAATAAAAGTCAAATGTTAGATTTTCATAATGCCATTTTTTTGTATGAAATTAAAAAAAAAGTGTAGCTAATCTTGTGTGTGCTTTCAAATTTTAAGTTTAGTATAATTGTAGTTTATTTCATAGGTGATTTTATTTAATATTTACAAAATAAAATCATATCGTAGAATTGAACCAAATTGAGAGCAACGATTATTGTAACCACAACATCTTAACATCTCTTTAAGCTCGAAGAATTCAGCCAAAACTTCACTCTACTACTAGTTGACTACATAAACCTTCATTAACACAAGAAAAATCCATATAACAAAAGAAAACCAAACCTACGACAATTAGACATCCCCCATACGCCATACACCGGAGATCACGGTCCAAAGATTGTTCTTACTTTCAAAACACATTAGCCACTACGATTTACTTCGAAGTAAGTCTAATATGTAATTATTTTTTTATTATTCCACGCTATAAGACTCAGTAGCGTCCATTAATTACAATATTAACTTGTAAAGGTTCTACTTCAGTTAACCTTAGTCACTTTGGGTTAAAAAATGTGATGCGCAAATCATTTGCACCGGTTTTCAAACAAAACTCCAGTTTGTTTTACTTTTGTGGTTCAAAATGAATGGGAAAAGTGTTTTAGTGATAATAAATGGTGGAGTTTTGTTTTTTTAATGTGGCATTGTATTTAATGACAGCTTTATCGACAGAAAACTGTTGAAGTTAAATCCTCCGATATCGTGGCCCATACCTTGTCCACCATGGCGTTCAAGGTGTTAAAGTAATTTACTTTTAATACCAATATTTTTAAACCTACATTTTTAGACTATACAACTGTCTGTTTTATTACTGCGCCTAAAAATCGACACAATAATAAAAAAAAACAACAGATAATAAAATTCAAAACAAAAAAAATAAACGTTCCTAATTCAAAAACAATAACAGTTACGAAAAGGTTGATGGCCCCGAACGGATGTAATAGACAATGAAGACTTCTTATAGTCTATGCTAATTCGCGCCATTTTATGATTGCAATTCAAATGATGACGCGTAATTTTTTTTACAATTAACTTTTACGCTACTGCGTAATGCGTTACGGGAAAGTTACGGTTTATGGTAACTATAGTTTGTTACTATGGTGTTTTGTTTTTAGTTTACATTGGTATGAGTTATTATGCCTTATAAGTGTAATAATTTATGATTGGCGTTAAAGTAAAATGGCAGACATTGGAAGGTGTTTGGGAAATTGGTAGCTACCTATTTACGTTATTTTCTAATACCTACGTTTTGTTATTGTATAAATTAAACATTTGACCGTATTTTAGTAGTAATTGTTAAATATGAAGGTTTAATAATTTTGTTTAGAAACATAGGAAAAGAGGTTTATTCGCTGTATAATTCTATCTAGTAAAGAAATTAAAAAAGGACATGTCAGTCTAAAAAATATCTCACCAAAAAAAAAATACTCCGATCATTCATCTTTCATTCATCCACAGATAATAATAAACAACCACAGATACAAAACATGACATCCGCTCAAATTTTGATGCGCAAACGCAAAAAAATCGCAATCAATTCCCATCTAGAGAAACTAATTCTACAAGTTCAAACCAGTTTCTCAGAACGACATAAGCAGAAGTGATCATTTTACTGCACACTTTGTACTTTTGCTAAAAACACCCTTAACATGATGTATTAAGAGCTATTTTACAATAAAAATGTTGTAGTCACAGACACATTTATGTAGTGCCATTTGTATCTGTTAGAAATACTCTTATTGCAAGGTGTTAAGATTCATTATACTTTGAAATGTTGTAGTTATAGATGTAGCGGTTTAATCAACCTACTGCACTTGATGTATGAACTGGTTTCATTAAAATATTTCAATTCAAATTAATGTTGTATTATGTAGGTACGTGGTGAATATTTTAGACTTTTCTAGATCGTCCTATAAGTTGTGTTCGATTCCCGGGTCGGGCAAAGTATTACTGAGTTTTTTATAAATTCTCAGTAGTAGCACGGATTCTGGAATTGTGCCCGATATATGGCAATAGGCTCACCCCCTATTACATGGGACTCATAACATAAATAGAGAAAAGTGGGTGTTACTTCTGTGTGCACCTCTGCCTACGCCCTCGGGGATAAAAGGCGTGATGTTATATTATGTTACAATTAAAAATGTTCATGAACAGAATTTCTATTTTTCCGTCGACAGCATCTCATAACGAAATCAATACCGTACTTACAAATAAATACACACGAGCATAAAAACAAGATAATAATACATATAAAATAAAATAAATTGACAATAAACTATTTGAACTCGATATACGAACAGCGACCCGTCCAAACGATGCAATTACTCATATAGCAATCGATCGTATAATTATATGAAAAATATAATATTGAAATAATAATTCGGCCCTTGGCCGACGTTTCTAGATATCGACAGTTCGACACATTATTTTATAAATTTATATGAGTGTTAGGGTGTGGTCGCAGTGACAGCGACAGTAAATTTGACTTGTTGAACGTTTATTTTGATTATCTATTTTTTATTTATCATTCAAATGTTAGTGACTACGTTTTCTTACTACCTATAAAATTCAGAGTTATTGCGTTTCGTTCATATGATAATTATATGGTATGATTTTTGTGTCTAGAGGTAATTATAAAGCTGAAGAGTAATGTAGGCTACATTTTTGTCGCGGAGAACCTTTTCGTCGCGGAGAACCTAACGGGTAACCGGGGCTCCGGCTCGACGTGCAGGAGAAGGAACGGGGTGGTTTTTAGTCAGTAAGAGTCTGACATTCCCTTCCGCCTCACCCAGGCGGGAGCAGTCATTCGATGATTTTCCCCCCTTAAAAAAAAGGCTACATTTTTCCCCCACCACGCGGGTAATAGCTACCTACTTGTTTATAATATCGTGTGTCTAATAATCTTATAGCCCAACTTTGTAACGAAACTAATATATAAGTTATACCTATTCAATAATAAAAACTTAATGGTCAATACTAAAACATTTTAGTCGGTACTTATTTTATATTTATTTATATGATAAGATTGATTACCTGTGTAAATTTTATAGGATAATAGTTAATTGGAATTAATAGCGACATTATAACATCAGTCTACAATATTTATAAGTCATAGAAACTATTACACTTTTCCATTCTATAAATTTCACTTATATTATCAATAACTATTTTAATATTAAGATTCTTATCAAATTCATCAAGAGTTAGTTTTAATCTACTTTTTCTGGCATAGCACCCTACGGAACATGAATTTAATAACCAGTGATGGTCGAGATATGTAAAAAAATACGTTCAAGTTAGATGCCAAGCTAGTTAACTCGTCAGATATCTATCTACCTGTGACAGCTTGATAGTTAGATTCATGATACAAGATCTTTGATAACTAAGGTGTATCATAATTTCATTTTATTATTTAAAGAAAAGTTAAAAATTAGATTTTTATTGTGAACTAAGCGCAAATTGAATCATTATCCCATGAAGTGATAAGTCAATCTAAATCACTCGTAGATAGGTACACTTTAAAATCTTATTTATTACCTTTTATTGTATATAAAATCATTTGTGTCATTATAGAAACTCATTTATCCGCTACATCGTCATTACGCTATCCGCTGTCACGGCAGCCACAACTCATTTATTCAGTGGTGCCACAAGAACGGTTATCGCCTGCAATAAATATGCACAATAATTAATATTCGATAATTATTTACTAGAGACGAAAACACTGCTATAAATCGCACTCACAGTTCGACGACTTTTTGGTCGCGCGAAAGTTTTATTGGCTAGAAAAGTCGCATGACTGGTTAAATTTCAATACCGTTGTACACTTTCGAGTTAATAAAGTATGTTAACGATCGCCGGCTCTTATAGATTTTAGGTCAAAATGATTTGTGGTTTGGATTTTTAGACATTAGATAGTTACCGGTCATTTTATTTAGTTTGAGAGCGAATAGGAAGGCTGGTTCGCGCTAGCGACATATTTTGGTCCATTCTTCTTTAAAAAAGTAACTATTATGCGTATGATTCTCCTATTGTATAAAGTCAACTTTATATACTTTCTTGGCACAATACGCATTGTGATCAACCATTATGTCCTTTACCTTTTGTTGACCTAATAATAAAAGATGTTAAAGACAATCATATCACTACACTTTGAATTAAACTACCAAACACACTAATAACACAAAAAAATCTATCTTTCCAGGTCTAGAACGGGTGGCGGAGGAGTTGATGGGTCGAAGAAAATGGAAACTATATCAGGACGCGTTAATACCAAAACGAGGGGAGGCAGAATTATCGAGCGACGAGGAATCGGTCCAAACGGACCCTCCACCAGCCTTGAAGATCAAGACCATAGAACAGATCAACGAGGACGAAGCAAAGGAAGAAAGAGTGGAAGAGAAGGTGCCTCGAAGGCCAGAAACTATTCTAGAGTCATTGATCAAAAGACCTGCTACCCAACCGAAGCTGGAAGTAGCCGAGGAACCAGCAGATTGGAAGCCGCAGGACAAATGTTACTTCTGTACGGATGGTGAGCCGGGAGGAGGCGAGAACAGGCCAACCGGCGCTATGGTGAGTTGCTTTTTTCTATTGCTGGAATTGGTTTGAAATAAGAATACTTAATTATGTTTTTTTTTATAAAAGCTAAGTTTTACTTAAAGGGTAACAGGGATTGGTTCTTTAGCCATTTTAAATCGGGATGTAGAGGATATTTTTCTCATCATGAAACTTTGATTTATTCTCGATAGACTAGAATTTATTTTTTATCAATTAGGAACAGATTAGGCAGCAATCATTACCTTAGCTTGAACAAAAAATATCTTAAAAACTTCTTGGTACTGAATGATTCTGAAGACACAAACTACAATAACAACATCACTATCTAAGCCCAATAACACACTGACCAAAATCACCATTTCGGACAAAGTCCAATGCCCCATAAACCCATAGTACCAACTCACTATCATGTCCTCCAATTTCATTATCCAGAATCCTAGATTGGGGTGCTTCACGAAGCTCAGGTGTGTCCATAACCTGAGTAACATTATTAGAGACAGATATAGTGTGCAGCAGTAACATAAACTGCTGGAATAGATTGAACAAGACTGTACGCCAGATGTTCTGGTAATAGATGTAGGTATATAGCTACACGAGTTATGTTGTGTATGTCTGTAGTTGTGTAAATATGAAGGTTTTTATCCTCATCTACCTTAGTCTGTGGCATCATTACTGGGTGGAGTTTAAAAGGTTTTTTTGGAGTAGGTCCTGATTTTGGAATACAAAAATCGGTCCAAGATCTTACTCATAATTTTCTCGAAGTAAATGTATCGGATATTATTCACTGTATCATTGGTAAATGTACAATTTCGCGAAGATACCTTTCTATATAAATATAAGTATGACATGACAAATCATTTTCTCTTTCATCACCATTCATGATTCTACCTCTACAGAAATGACATCAGATGTAGCTATAGCTACGTTTCAGTACCAAGTCAAAGTCAAGTCAAAATCATTTATTTTATTCAGACCAGAAAGGCACTTTTAAACGTCAACAACAAAGAAAGTGAAGTTTTTTGATCGTTCCAAGGTGTAAATTCCTATGTGGAAGAACGAGCAAGAAACTCCATAGGTTACTCATTTTCAATCAGGTTCACAATACAATTCTCTAGTTACATAATTTGTATATTAAATAGATTCATCTGAGTCTGTTTTTAACCTTAACGTGATTCCGTTCAATCTCTAGTTAGCTTGAGTAAAGTATTATTGAATGTTTACTGCCTAAAGACACCTCTTTTATGAAAAGTGCCAGGAGCAACCCTTAACGAATTTGAAACATCTGACAGTCATCATCACTTCTGATGACATCATGGCTGCCTGCATAAGAATGCAACATCAACTGTGACTCAAAATGATGCATCCATGACCTTTAAACCTAGATCGAGTTAGTCATTGTAGTACAACGGAATATTTTTAGGTACCTAGGTATTGATGATTGGTAACATCCTGTTAAAGAGACTAGGCAATAAATCTCGACTAGTTTTGAATAAAAATAGTACTTCATCTGAGTTTTCTTATGGTGAGTGAAGTGGTATTTGATAGCAGGCTTGTCTTTTATTTACTAAAAAGGATTTTAAACATTTCTGGTTATGATTTGATGCATGAAAAGACTGATGATTGTTGATGAAGCGAAAGAGGTATGTAAGAATAGTAGCAATTGGCTTTCCATAGTCTCTGCCTGCCCTCATGGAATACACCCCTGGAGAATTTATGTATGTATGGTTTTGATTATATGTTACTTAGGCACGTATGTACATACATTTTTGGGAAGAAAAGACTTGTATTTTTTAGTAATCTAAGAATTTATTACTATCATACTTTTTGAGATTCATACAGGCTGATTTTTGCTATCAGCCATCTATCTTTCAGTCAACAGCCTTCTTTACGTTAGCTTTATTAATCCTATATTATATTTGAATGGGATATAACCTATTATGTATTGTTATAAGTTTAAAATCGCCAATCCCCTTGAGTTTGAAGCAATTATTGCTCATTATTTCTCCATGTGAGAAGAGGTCGTTGCTCAGCTGTGGAGACTTATAAGCTGATTATATGACCTACCTATTAAATCATCATCATCATCATCATTAACAGCCTATAAATGCCCACTGCTGAGCAAAGCCTCTTCTCACACGGAGAAGGTTTGAGCATTAGGTATACACCACGGTTGCTCAATGCGGGTTTGCGATTTCAAACTTATAATTAGAAATTATAAGCCCAGGTTTCCTTACGATGTTTTCCTTTACCGTTTGTTTTAAATAATCTTAGAAAGTACATATAACTCGGAAAAAGTCACATTGGTACTTGCCGTTGGTAGGTTTCGAGTCGTAGTGGCCCGGAGGTTTAAAACGCCCGCTTCTCATGCCTCTTCAATACATAGTATAAAACAAAGTCGCTTTCGCTGTATGTCCGTATGTATGCTTAGATCTTTAAAACTACGCAACGGATTTTGATGCGGTTTTTTTTAATAGATAGAGTGATTCTTATGGAAGGTTTGTATGTATAATACATGCATATTGAACCCGTGCGAAGCCGGGGCGGGTCGCTAGTATATTATATACCTCTTAGAAATATTTTCTTAATATTCTACTTATTGATCATAATTTTATTATAAATCCCCTTTATTATTGAGTTTCATATTCTCTCCGTCGATTAGTGCTTAAAAACTGTTTGGCTTAGCACTGATATAATTATTAATATGCGTAGCTTAAGATTCTGTTTATTAATTTTGATATTATTAATACTATACTTTAATTCGTCACGTTTTATAGTCTGTGGTCTAATCATGCAATTTGATGTCATAATGACTTCATAGTGATGTAAAATTTTACTATGAACTTGACACAATAATTCGCATCATGGCTTAGTAATCTATTTAACAAAAAATATTAAGTTTGTTCATTTGAACGCTGGAATCATAGGTATATTTTACTTTTAACTTAATTAATAAAACTGAATCTTTTTGATTATCTCTATTTATTGAAGTCTTTAAAAATAATGGAGTTTCTAACTAAAATATGTTTCAAACACTATAAACGTTCTTAAAGTAGGAATAATGAAAAAGCTAGCACACTAACCATTAGGTTTTGGTCTAGAATTATCATAGCACAGTTATTTGCTAGTATTGTGAATCTATGGGAAACTCACAGCCAATCACAACGAAATTATTGCTTTGGCGGTAAAAACTGTACCACAGACTACACATGGAATTCTTTTTTTTAAATTAACGTTCTTGTTTCTGACATCAATCTTGTCTATGAATAGAGCTGTGAATTATGTGGTATCGATTTGTAATTAATGCGTTTATGAACAACATTAAGGTTTACGCGTCGTTGGGTTAACAAAAATGGTAGAAAAATAAAAAGTAGGTATAATGTGATTAGCTTTTTATCGTTGTATTTTGTATCATTCGTAGTGTTGAGAATTTCTGTTATTGCTCTTTTTCCTGAAGAAGATAATTATAGTTTTTTATTTAATTAATTATTCACTATGTATTCTGTGTACCTACACAATAATGAATCGATGATGATCGAAGGATGGATAATCAATCGTAGAGTTTTATATAGACACTGAAAGAGTTCAAAGCAAAGCTGAAATAAAGTTTTATTTGAAAGCTACAAGACCCATACATTTTTACCTTTAGATATAATCAAAATAAACGTCAATCACACAAGTTATTCAGATAGACTCCAAGTATCGTTATATGCGCCTTCTATCCATATTTAAGTAAATCACCAAATAAAACATTAATATCGTAACAACATACAATTTAATTAAGACCTAATGGCTATGTTCTTAATAACAACATCCCTCGCGATATTCTAATCATTGTCCGTTCTTAATTACACTTTATTGTAAAACCTATAGATGGCAATAGCAATTATGTTTTCTGTCTAAACCAAGCAAAGACACAACCAGCCTAACCAGACCCCTCTCCCCCATACATCTATGACAATCCGGAACAAAATCTAACGCGAAACAAACGCAAAGGGACCATCTTACATCGGCCGTGCAAACCATAGTTTCAATTTAGAAAACAATGGCTTATCCATTTTCTACGATTCCACGTCAAAGTAGAGTTGGTATTTTGATTAATACGCGCGAAAGAGATGGGGTGCGTGCCTCGAAAAATGCACTTTATTCTCAACTCTGTTCGACTGCACATAAGGTCGAGTTCCCCGCTCATTGCAGTGTTGTTACTGAAATAGTGAATGTGTAGGCGTAGAGCATGAAAAGTAGGCAGTGTAAGAACAGAGCCAGGAGTGGAGTGGACATTGTCTCTTTGTCCTTTTTGAGTACACTTTTTTTAATCTGTTTTGTAACTACTTGTGCTAATTAATTTTGTTTGCGTTTATTAAATTGCGTGGAGCTGTGCAGATCTGTTTTAATTAAATTGTAAATTGATGTTTGAATTGAAATTGAGTTGATTGTGAATCGAGTGAAATTAACAACGAAGTGTAATCAACGAAATTGTGGAATTTTGATTGAGTTTTGGTACTAGTGATTAATGAGGGTTTTAACAGGGTTCAGAATGTGTTTAAAGATAGTTTTACTCAAGTTTTATACGATTTAAAAATGTATAATTTTTATACTAGGTAACTCAGTGGTAAACTGTCATTATGGATAGCTTATAACGAGCTGACTTATTTTAATAAAATTACATTCGCAGCCCAGTAACTATAATTCATAACAACAGCTTTCATAGAACTGCAAGCACCTGTTCACATGAGCTATCACAATTAAGTACCAAACGAAAGAAGAAATTAAAAAAAAAATGTAAATTAATTCTACCATTTACGTGTTGTATAAAAATTATCGCAACCTGCAATTGTTTGGCTGTTAAAAACTATGAAGGTATTGAGTATAATTGCACAGGAAAAGTGGACGATGCATGAAATTAATGCACATCATACTATCGCTTTAGATTTTTCAAAATACACTCGTTGATAATTGTAACGTTACGATGATCTACTTTTAATGATTCGTGTTTCATTTGAATTGTAAATTTTTGT